GTCGAGCTAAAAGTATCCAAAGGCTAGGGTCGAGCTAAAAGTATCCAAAGGCTAGGTTCGAGCTAAAAGTATCCAAAGGTCAAAGGTCAAGCTAAAAGTTGTTAGAAGATAAAAAAGCAAGCATGTAACATCTGTTGAAAGAATTGTATTTCCATGTGGAAAATATTTGTAATTAAATGTATTAATTGTGAAAAATATGAAAATGACAAAATGAAAAGTTGGCATGTGCCTGCTGAAGGAGCTGAATGTTTTGATGTTTGAATGGATAAAATCTTACACAGCAGAAGACCTTCCAACACATTTAGCATAAAACGCACAATAAAATGCTGAAGGGCTGCTACAATCAACCGATGCAGCTGTTAATAAAAATCAGCAGAACACTAAACGTTTCTTCCAGGTACAAAAGTGTGCAGGTGCTGTGGACACGGTGTGTCCCTCAGCGTCTTGTTGGCTGGTTTTCCTGCAGGACGTCCCAGAAGGGTGTCCTTGTTGGAGGACAGTGAGGCTCAGTCTGTGGTCAAACTCTTCTGTCACCACAGGAGAGTCCGTGTTCGTAGCTCAGTTCCTGGGGGTGCAGTGTTGACCAAGCGTGTGCACCACAGCTCAGGCTGCATTAGTCGTTAGTTGAGGGTTTGTGTCATATTCCTGAGCAAGACGATAAGGGGATCCCCCAGAGGAGGGTGGAGCGTGCCCACACTGATAACAGCCCTGTGCACAGGACTGATACTAAGCTGCAGGAGGATTAGACCGGTGCAGCAGCATCATTAAACACAGAGGCCTCTTCTGTGAACGCACCGAACGTTCACTGCGCTCACTTCTCACCTGCTCCACAGGAAAAAGCAGCAGCACCCTTTATGTTTCTGTTGGTTGCTTCGTGGGTTATCCTTCTACGTCTCCTTTATTCTACCTTTATAGGGAAAAAATAACTATATATATATATATATATATATATATAGTTATTTTTATTATTTTTTTCCACTTTCAAACCTCCAGCAGGTCTACATCTACAAATGGATCAACTAAAAAAAAGCATGTTTACTATTTAAATTAAAGAAATAAAGTTTTTTCTACTTTTGGTTATTAGAGTCCAAATTAAATAACATTGATAATGTTTGATGACGTTTGGTGAATTGGGAAGTGGTGGCGCAGAGGTTACATAAGTTGGGCCTGTGATCGGAAGATCGCCGGTTCAACTCCCCGGACCGACAACATGAAAAGTGTGGGTGGGAAAGAGTAAGCACCCATACCTGACTCCACCCTCATCTGCCCCTCTCTGGGCCCTTGAGCAAGGCCCTTAACCCCCACCATCTGCTCCCCCGGGCGCCCTAGATGCAGCTCTCTGCTCCACACAGAGGCTGTGGTAGCTCGGTGGTCTGCGGTTGTGTCAGGAAGGACATCTGGAGTAAAAACAGTCGTGAAGTCTTTGTGTGAGTTAGTTCTCTGGCGACCCCTGAAGAAGGAGCAGCTGAAAGAAGGAAGTCAGCTGTATTTCTTGTACGTGGACGGAGGAGCCCTCACCCCAATAGTTACTAAATACTCTTTGTGGACTTCACGTCTGCCTTCAACACCATGATCTCCCAAACCCTGATGGACAAACTACTCACATCAGGACTAAGCCCCTAAATTTGCAACTGGATCCTGGACTTAACAGACCCCACAGTTAGTGAGGGTCCACAACTTCTCCTCCTCCACCATAACTCTCAGCACTGGCTCTCCTCAGGGATGTGTGCTGAGCCCTCTCTTGTTCACTCTGATCATGTACGACTGCACACCTACCCATTCAGGCTATCACATTGTAAAGTTTGCAGATGATACAGCGGTGGTGGGATGCATCACAAACAATGATGAGTCCAGCTACAGGCAAGAGGTGGAACACCTGGAGAGCTGGTGCAGAGAGAATAACCTTCACATCAATGTGAAGAAGACAAAGGAGATGATTGTGGACTTCAGAAGGAACAAAAACACCTACACCCCCTAAACATAAGAGGATCTGCGGTGGAAGTGGTCTCCAGCTACAAGAACTTGGTTGTGCACCTGAACAACAACCTCAGCTGGAGCAACAACACCACCAGCCTGATGAAGAAAGCTCATCAGAGACTCTACTTCCTCAGACGGCTGAGACGAGCTGGTCTGGAAGCTCAGTCCTCACCTCCTTCTACAGGTGTGCAGTGGAGAGCATCCTGTGCTCCAGCATCAATGTGTGGCATGGAGGCTGCACAGCTGCAGAAAGAAAAGCTTTGCAGAGAGTGGTGAAGGCTGCACAGAAGATGTTGGAGTCAGTCTCCCCACCATCACAGACATCTACACCTCCAGATGCAGGAAGAGGGCCACCTGCATCATGAAGGACCCCACCCACCCAGCACACACACTTTTTGTCCCACTCCCCTCAGGAAGGAGGTTGAGGAGCATTAAGTGTAGAACCACTAGACTGAAGTTAACATGCCATATTTATGTTAAGCTGCCATAAATATGGCAGTGTAAACCCTGACATAGAAGATAGTGCAGTAATGTGGAACTAGAAGTTCATGGCTACTCCTTTACTTAGAGTCAGTGTTGGTCACTCCGTGTTCCACGAGTACAGATGGCCATACATGTACAGATGGTCATACATGTCCACCTGAATGTGCAACACACTAGAGCCCATGCAAGTCAAACTCCCTCACCACCTTTTGTTTCAGATTTTTTAGACTCCTTGCATTTCTCTTGCATTTCACATAATGTG